GGCGGTAATGGAGATGGAGGCTGTGAGGGCAAGGGTGGAGGCGGTATTTCAAATTGTGGATCACCACTATGTGATGGTTTTAGAGTTTGAGAGGAAGAATATGCCTCCTGGATTGGCTCAACAGGAGATGGTGGGCCAAGCATGAGTTCCCCAGGTGCAGAGTATGAAGGACTTACAGAATCCACTTTATAATTTTTCCGTTCACTAAAAGCATCAGTAGCAACCAGAGAATCAAGGTTGGCAGCAGCCTTTGTTTTGGAATTTGAATTTATATCTTTTGATTGTGCAATACTTGCCAAAGCAGCCGGGGCACTGTTATATCTTGAAGGCGGATAGGAAACATGCATAGAATTCATATAAGAGCCTTTATTAGGAGGGATCCACCTAGAAACTGCATTTGGCTTTGCTTGTTTGGCAGAAAAACCTTGAGTCTCTTGTTGTTTGACTTTCTGTTTGGCTAAACCCATATCTGCGGTCAGTTTTGCAGTTGAAGTAGGCTGTTTCTTGGGGATTGGTGTTTGCAATCTTTCAGATTTTTGTCTAGAGCCATCAGCACTCAACTTTTTCTGTAGAACTCTGTTGTCCAACTTCTCAGGTGTGGTATCTCTTCCATCGTCCTTTTCTTCCATATCTTCAAATTTCTCACAAGCATCATCTACCAACCCCTGGGCTTTCGCATGAGTCAGGACATTAGCAGCAACCAATAAGTAATTCGACTTGATATCCCCATCATCCACAGCAATGTCCTTAACTGTATTAAGATCAGAGTATATATTTTCATCCAGTTTGTACTTCACATCATCCACAGTAATGTCCTTCACTGCATCAAAATCTGATTTCTTATCATGCTTAAGATTTCCATCGTCAGATGCACAATCTTGGAATGCAGGAGGATCCATGTCCTCTTTCCATTCTTCTTTACGGTCTACACGATTGACCACTTGAGGATCATTGGACCCCTTGACTTCCTGCCCATCCATTACATTACTGAAGATCTCCTCAACCTCAAAAAATTCTTCAGGAGAGGCAGCTCCTGTTTCATTTGCATCTTCATCATCGAAGGCTGTGGTGAGATCGTGGACAACAGCATCAGCATCCAAAAAGAGTGCCTAACATAAATGCAATCTTCTGTTAACTTCTATAACTTCATGAAATCAACATTCATAAAAGAAGACCAATAACTTACCTCAACTCTGAAGTCCTTAGGGAACTGGTCCCTCGCATCCCATAAAACATCAACTTCATCACGGCTCAGAATCATAATGTTTGATCTAACAAATGTTGTGTGAAACATAACTCTAAACACCATCTCCTCGTGTACTAGATCCTCATCCAAATGGATACATTCAAGAACCACGTCCCCTTGAACACGGCAATGAATGTCAATTTTCACCAGCATACACTCTGCCTGTGGTAACAATTAATAAGAAAACTTAAATGTTGGATAATTTCAGCTTTCAGATTGTGTTGCTGAATCATTACCTGTAAGTAGTTGCGGATATGTTTCTTCTTGACTGGTGTTGAAAATAAAAGCTTTGAAGTTCTGTTGGCTGGTGTTGAGGGGTCTTGCCCATAAACACGCACAACAGGCCTACAACCTTTTCCCCCATCAAAGAGAGGTAGAACTCTAAGTATTATACAATCCAAAACTAGAGGTGTATCAGATGGAGGCCAGTCAGAACCTAAATTTCTCCTGGAAATGTATTGAAGATATCTCAGGTGGGAAGGTTGAGGGTTTAAAGGAGAGAGAAGATGGAGAAGTTCCTTAGGAGCTTGCTTGTAGACCATTTCAAGAGTCTTCTGCTCCCCACTGTATTGTTTCCTGTACAACAGAAGACCAGCTAGCATGAATGCAAGAACAGGCCATCCTCCTCTTTCACAATGCATCAGTAGCACGTTCTGTTGACCCTCCAGTGACAACCAGCTTTCACTAGATCGAAGGAAGTGGTGAATCATCTCCAATGGCAGTAAAGGACACCCCTCATATTGCCGAGGATAATCCATAACTGTCATGTCATACTGAGTTAATATGTCAGAAACTTGGCTTCGCCTATCACCTTCTCTGAAGTTGAAAACCATGAAAGAAGCATCAGGAAAGTAGCTCTGCAACTGTGCTACAATGCCATCCAAGTAGACCTTATATTCTTCTTCTTCCAACACTTCCGTGGAGAAGCAACAATCAAACACTGAAAACAAATAATAACCAGAATAAGTTACCACATTCCACCACTAAAAATCATCTCACAAGTTGATATCAAGATATACATATTGATAGGTAGTGAAAAGAGAATATCTCATTGCAAACCAAGCCCTCAACCTAACTCAATTACAGAGTGGTGTAGCACCACCACTCTGTAAACTGGTGTAGAAAGGCATTCCCATATAACAGCTTTTATTCAAATATGTCCTTGTAGACATGGATTTGATAGACAGGTGACAGCATACAGAGTGATTAGATAGATAGAAACAACACGAGAGATGGACCACAAAAAAGAAAGAAGCTCAGGTAGAGAAAACAATAAGTTCACAAAAGAGCAAAGCTACACTCTTTTTTCTAACAATGCCATTATTAAGCTAATGGAAGAAAGCATTGATACAATATATGGATTGAACCGTATCAAGTTGAACCTTCCCAGGACAGACCACAACCTCTTATGTTAAACGAAACTGTAAATATAGGAAAAACATAATAGTACATTGGTCGTCACTATTCAGATATGCAAAAGCAAAACGTCAACCACCTCAAAAAGTAGGCTTCTCCTTCGTTTTTCAAGCTTTGTGCTTGCCATTGGTTCAGCTCCGGTAGGTGGTTTTCACTTATGATATCTTATACATGGTTTCTCTTCCAACTCAAATCCCAAAATAATAATAATAATAATAATAATAATAATTACTGTACATTTCTCTAGCACCACGCATAATTTAGTTGAAGGTCTAGAATCTTCTTTTGTTAAGTAGAAATTTTTGTAAATTCTCACTCTAATAAAGTATTTGATATAGCACCAGGTCCTGCGGCAATCAAACTCATATTCCATAAGAAGCACACAGGCAACGCATAAAGAGCGATGAGTGCGAAGGCGAGAGAGAGCATGTCAGCAGATAAGAGGCTTACATTCCACAACTACTCGGGTCGGAGAGCATAGAAGTAGGGGGCCAAAATAAAATCCAGAAGAAATTAAGTACACGAGACAGTCTGCAGCAGACCTATTGCGTTACGAAGCAGCTAAACCTAAAGGTAAAGAGTTTGTCATGGCATGGCATTATCCCAATTGGCATTCAACGTGGAGAATTGAGCTTGCATAAAGCTAGAAAACAGAGCAATCACGTAACCACGCACATAAACAAATGGCGCGAAGAGTTTGACATTCTGCAATAGCTTAGCATTTGTGGAAGCTGCATAAAAACGAAAAGAAAACACGAAATTGAGAGAACAATCTGTAAGGAGGCGTACCATAGACCCTCTCGGAGATCTCAAGAAGCCGATCCGGCGGCTTCCTGTAAAATAACCTTCTGAACAGCGCCATCGGATGGCGCTGTTTCTTCCTCGATCGGATCCAAACCCGTTGTTGAATAAAACACTAACCAGATCAAAATTGACCGCCGAACCAGAGMAGATCTTAGAATTGGAAGGTCCGATCACAGCCAAAACCTCCGGAATTAACCCCAAAATTCACGAATTCATAGCCAGGCCGAGATTTAGGCAACGGAAAAAAAAAAGAACAAAATCCCTAATACTTTCTGGCAATTAAACCCCAGGCATGGGGGAAAAGTCCAAACCAAAAACAATCAAAAGATAGTCTACGGAAAATGAAAATTCAAAAATTAGAAAAGAGAAAAGAAATCGAAGAAGAGAAGTTGAAGAACGGAAATGGCAATTGAAAGAGTAGGGAAGTGACAGTAGGGCAGAGAGATTGAAGGGGGAGAAACAAAAAGGGTAAAAATAAAAATGGGGAGAAGACAGAGAGAGAGAGAGATGCAATTGGAAAGGACTTAGAATTATGAATTTAGACAGCCTTTGCCTTAATGTCACATGAGAGAGGGAAAATAACAATAACAGAGAGAGAAAGAGGCGTAGTAGACTGGATAAAAGAGCTTCTCTTTCTTAGACAGCAAACCCCCCAACGCCCACTACGACAAATTTTGCTTTTGCCGCTGGCAGACGATCGATCTCTTCCGCCGACGTGGCTCCCACGTGGCATTTCTTTCCCATCATTTTTTCTATTGCAATAAAATGTTTATATTTTTGGAATTGAGAATTATAATATTATTTTTTTAAAATTTACTTTTTCTGTTGTTTTTACAAATAGGAGACTAATTGGTGCATTTAATAATTAGCATATTTTTATTTTTCATTGTTGAGTGGAGATTTTATTAATTTGTCAATTGGCAATATTTTATAGAGTTTTAAAAAATGGTTCAAATATTCCTCCATTTTTTTTAACTAAAAATGTTAACATTATAAGTAAGAAACAAAAATGACGGAGTGTCGGTTTTGGTTTTGTAATAAATATATCTCAAAGTGAACGCGAATTAAATGTGCTAACTGTGATTTTTTTTTTCTTTTTCTTATTATGGAATTCAAAAATAAACTCTGAAAAGGTATATTATTGGATATGCGGAAATCAATTTTATCCATCTTTTATAACTTTTATTACACATATTCCGATGGACGTAATTAAGAACTTGTCTTAAAAACAATTTAAATAACTAATAATTCGTTCTTTTGGGACAAAAATCAAACTTGTAGTAATTTACTACATTAAAAAATATATATATTTAAAATATTGTCCAAAATTAATAATCAAATTTTAACCATATGAATATACTTCAATAATAAATGGCATCCAATAAATTTAAATTCTGGTAGTCCATATTTGTTGTATTAAAAATAATTCTTTAAATTTTAGTTAATTTTTAAATTTTGGCTAATATTTTTTGTTATTTTAAAATTAAAAGGTAGATAAATAAATATGGTTATCCATGACACTTGATAAAAATCGAAGTGATTGTCAAAAAAAAAAATAACTATTAGGTTAATCGCGACATTGGAATTTTTATATTAAACAATTTTTTTGAGTTGAAAATAATAATAACAATGATAACAATTACTTAGTCATTGTTATTTAACAGTTATAAATTACAGCACCTTCGGATGTTGACAAGGTTGGAAAAGTAGATCTAGATTCGAACCCTCGTGTATCCAGTAATAAAAAAAACATTTGTAAATTACATACTTTACAAAGTTGATATTTGAGGAAAAAAAATCATGTTTAATACTTTTAAAGATTTATAATATTTTGTTATCAATAAATATGTATGGAGTAAAAAGTTAATACGTTCCATATAAGCATAATTTGGTCGTCAAAGTAGTTATATACAAGATGAAAGTTTAATCTGTGGTCTCGGGCGAATTCAAAAAATAGAATTAATAACACATTTAAAAAATTTCAACTTAAATTAGATAAAGTAATTAACATAATGTATTGTTTTCTATTTTAATATAAAAGAAATATTCATTATACACCCTAGATTAGCTTAATGAAATTTATGAAATCAGGCATAAAAATGTCAGATCGGTCCATTTAATTTTTCAGTTCAAAGTTAAATGCATTTAAAAAGACTATTAAATTTATATTCTCTTATTGAATTATTTAATGGCATCCACAAATTTAGGTTGGACATCAATTAAAAAAATAATAATAGTAAAAAGGATACAGTTCAATTTATACCGCTAAATTATGTAGGTTGAATCAATTAAATTTCTAATTTTTACGAGTGAATCAATTTACCATCTCTATTATGATTTGTGTTTTAAAATCATTAATAAATAATTATCACACCTACTCTTTTAAATATAATGTTAATAAAATATTACAGGAAAATGTGGGAATCCAATGATCTGTCACCCATTAAATCAAGAGAAAAATAGATAAATAAGAAAATATGAATAATCAACCAATAAACTAACATAAACTAAGAAAAGTCATTATTTAAAGTTATAAACATGTTTAAATTCAATTTTTTTTTTAATTTTTAATAAGCAACCTCCCCGATACAATTTGTAATGCATTCTCCCTGCATGCAATTGATAATAATTTTTTTAAAACTAATTTCCTTCTTATATTTTTCAGTTTTTTTTACAAGTATTTTTAGATTTTCAATCACATTTAAAAAAACAAATATATATTTCTGGAATCTTTTTTTTTTTTTTTACATAATAATAAAAACTTAGGATAGGTTTTTTCTTTTTTATTTTTTGTTTTTTGTTTTAATGAACTTAGACTAAGATTTTCAAAACATGGATTACAAAATACCTAAATTCAACCAGCAAACTTATTTAATAGAAGCAAAAGGTAGACTAAAAGAATTCAATGATGATACATGGTATCACCTCGTTCTAGGGTTGGTTCAAATTGTTCACGTTTAAGCATAGTATTTTGCAAATCGTTGAGAAATACGTCTATAAAAAATTGGTTCTTACATAAATAGTATAAAATGAATGTGTATCTTTGATTATAGGCGCATGAAGTTTGTAATATTACAAAAATAACATAGCTCAAAATAAACTCAATATTAAAAAAAAAATAAAGATGAGGTATTTTTTAACATACAAATTATATTCAATTTATGCTATGTAGTTTTGTTTTTGCTTTTTTTAATTGAGTGATCTACTAAGTGACAAAATGGTCATAGATGTTAATTTATCTAACACATCTATATGTTATTATTAATAAATGAAAAGAATGGAAAAATAAGAAGATGGAAATCAACATATATATTAAGTGTGGGTGTGGCAGCTATAAAATTAATAGCAATTAAATCTATTTTAAGTGGAAAAAAATATTATTACTATGAAAAAGAACTCTCTTCTCAGTAAATAGGTATGGTGGGGAAATTCGAATTCATCACCTTTTGATTAGAGACAAATATTAATTACTGTTGAGCTAAGCTTACGTTGACTTGAAAAAACTAGCAATATTGTCGTAACTGTTATATTTAATAATAATATATTCATGCCTATCTCTAAAAAAAGTGGTGTGAATTATAATCTCCACCTCTAGATTGACTCAGGTTAAATATCATTAAATTTATTGTAAGTTTCTTTTACACTCATATGTTAAGAAATAATAATAATAAATAAAACTTATTTACATGCATATTGGAAGACAAGTTATTCAATCTTAAAAGTTTAAAGTCTTCGTTTTATTAAATTAAATTGCAAATTCAAATTAGAAAAACTACACATAATCAACTAATGAATCTAAAAAAGTTTCMAAAACGAGCATAGCTCAATAATAATTGATATGTACCTCCAATTAAAAAGTTGCGAGTTCTATCATCTACCCAATATATCGTACTAAAAAAATCATAAAAATTTATTTCAAATAAATAATAATAATAAAGAAAAATTGCCTAAATTCAGGCAAGATAAAAAATCCACACAATTCGAATAACCGATTCTTGTATATCTAAAGAAAAATAACAAATACCTATAGAAATGGTATAGAATGTCCGAGACTAATAGAAAAAAAAAACTCGACTAATTTGTCGTTAAATATCTCACGTTGAAAATATAAGAGATATAATAAAGGTACTCATCTTATTGTCAATTGATTTTAAGACAAAATTTTAGAGTCCAAAAACTCAAATAAATATCCGAATTATTTAATAATAATATCATAGATATTGTTATCCATTTTTATTTATCTAATTTTTCAAAGTACTTTCATGATTATATTAAAAAAAATATAGGATTTTATCAATTTATTGTTATCGAGGACCGAGAAATTTTCAATGACATCATTAGTTTTCTTTTAATTTTTCTTATAATAATTTGCTCACATTTAAAAATCTATTTATTTCCAAATCTCGTTTAAAAAAAAAAAGAAATACAGAAAACGAGAATCTAGAGAGAAGGCATTTGGTCCAATAAAAATAAAAGACAGTTTAATTGTTTTAAAAGGATTCACTCAATAACATAAATTAAATATTTGTTACTTTTCATTTTTTCCTATCATAATAGTGTGTCTACTGACATGTGAGTTGGAGTTGGAGTTATGTTATTTTTGTAAAATTCTAAATTTTATTTTATTTTTTGCTATATTTAAAAGTACATACTTATTTTATATTATTTAAATAAATGCCTATAAAACTAAAAAAGAAAAAAAGAACCGGCTCCACGTAGCTTTCTAAATTCTAATTGCTAATAATAATTACCAATTATTGAAGACAAATTAAAATAAACGGTTAGGTTATTTACGTCCATACAGGGCGACACCTTTTACTGCAGTTTACGTAACAAAATGGTGATTTATTTTATTTGTGATTTGATGTCCTTACGTAGTGGGCCCCACCCACCAACAGAGGCTCTAACATGTGATGATGCTTTTTTTGCTTCCACCTGTCGAGCACTTATTGGTGAAAGTAGTGTGACCATCTCGTGGTTCTCCACGTAGGAGATCGACGCTCCAACATGACGGAGAGAGGCCACGTGGCACGTGCATTAATCAATTAATTATTGCGAGTCAGCTGGAGACAAACCGACCCAACTGTTCCGGACGAGCCACCGTGTCCTTTTCTTCGCACGTGCGAAAGGTTATACGGATGCCTCTCCATTGTCTTGCCTTGCCACCATAATTCGTACAAATTACCTTCTTATATTTAGGGCGTGTAATAAGGATGCCTCTCCAATGTCACCATTGTCACTTTCTTCAACTTGCCGCTTATGTGGCGTCCGAGTAGAGAGAATGATATATAAATGAATTGGTACTACATTTGAATTAGATGAATCTTGTGATTATCATGAAAATATGGTTAGTTTTCATTTTCGATGGTTCAATCATAACAACTCTAAAATTAAGTGTGCTTGATTTTGAGCAGTTTTCGGTTGGATGATCTCTTTCTTGATTTACAAGGAAGTATATGATTGGAGACAAAGCATGTTAAACGTAGTTCAGATAAAGCCCATGGTACAAGAGAATGTCGAGACAATTAGGTGTCGAATTCAGATTCTAAATCTTGGGCCGAATCATGGAACGTGT